ATTGCACAAGTACATATCTTACTAAGCCACATGCTCCTGGAGAGCCAAGGCCATAGTTAATTTATCCATATATCCATTGCAGAATGCCTTGCACAGTATTAATGGTCCACTAACATGGCTGAGTACCAGAGGTTTGGGAGTCATTGCATAGGGTAGAGAATGAAACTATGGGAAAGGATGAAATTTCCCTTAGGGAAGTCCAGGAGTAGGAATTACATTTATTGAGGTCCTACTGTGCTGAAGTAAGTGGGACTTTAGGTTTGATTCCAGAGACTCCGTGCTTTTCACTAATTATATAAGGACTGAAGAAGGTCCATTCTATTTGGCAATTACAAGTTAATTTGTTAACTCTGGTGAGACAAGTCAGGAGAAGATTGAGGGCCAAAGCCAGAGTGCAGTGAATTGATGGGGTAATTTTTAGATGAGAAGAGGACAGAGAGAGTACACTGGTGGTTTTCAGATTTTCAGATATCAATAACCAATAAATTTGTTGAAAAAACAGAGACTAATCAAGTTGCCAACTTCTTGTTTTACCAATTAAATATGTTGAAGCCAAGCAACACTTCAGCTCACTAATCATTAGGGAAATGCAAATCAAAACCATAGTGAGATATCTCCTCACATTCATAAGATAGCTGCTGTGAAAAAAAGACACAAAACAACAGGTGTTAGCAAAGATGTAGGGAAATTGAAACGTAGGCACTATTGGTGGGAATGTGAAATGGCAGCTGCTATGGTATGGTGTTTCCTCAGAACATCAAGCGTAGAATTACCATATGATTCAGCAATTCTACTTCTGGGTATTAGAATTGAAAGCAGGATCTTGAAGAGATGTTTATACAGAAATGTCCATAGCAGCATTGTTAGGAATAGCCAAAAGATGGAAGCGACCCAAGTGTCCCTCAGTGGATGGGTGGATAAGGAAAATGTGGTATACACATAAAACAGACTATTTTTCAGCCTTAAGAAGGAAGGACATTCTGAGACATGCTATACCATGAGTGAACCTTGAAAACGTTATGTTAAGTGAAATGAGACAGTTTCAGAAAGACAAATACTGTATAATTCCACTTACGTGAGGTTATGTACTTAAAAGAGTCAAATTTGGCTGGGCATGGCAGCTAACACCTGTAATCCTAGCACTTTGGGAGGCTAAGGTGGGCAGATCACTTGAGGTCAGGAGTTTGAGACCAGCCTGGCCAATATGTTGAAACCCCATCTCTACTAAAATTACAAAAACAAGCCAGGTATGGTGGTGTGCACCTGTATTCCCAGCTACTGGGGAGGCTGAGGCACGAGAATCGTTTGAACCCAGGAGGCGGAGGTTGCAGTTAGTCAAGACCGTGCCACTGCGCTCCAGCCTAGGTAACAAAGTGATACTCTGTCTCAAAAAAAAGAAGTTGTTAACTTGCATACAGTATTATACACTTTTACCACTTTATTGTGATATTTTACCACTTTATTGTGATAGTTCAGCTTTTAAAAACTACTTTTAAAAGATATTTTATCTCTTTATTGTGATAGTTCAGCTTTTAAAAACTACTTCAGTTAGTTATGTTATGGAGTTCATCACCTCATGAGACAACCTGTTCCATTGCTAGGTTGCTAGATATGGAATAAAGTAAAAGAAAGAACTTGGGCTTTGGAGTCAGGGAAACTAGTTAGAATCCCGTTTCTATCACTTTGCAGCTCTATAGTCATGGACAAGCAACAACTTCTCTAAAATTCTGGGTTCTTTTCTGGAAAATAGAGTTAAACAGATCTAGGATTGTTGCAAGGATTTAATAAAGTATCATATCTCACTTTATGTGTTTAGCATAAAGACTTAGTTGTTAAATCCTTCAACGAATTGCTATGAAAATTGCTAAAACTTACTGAGCACTTACTGTTAGCCAGGTGTTGTTACAGGTAGTTTATACCCTGTAGCTCAATCCTTGCAAACTGTAAGATTAAGAAATGCTGTCATCTTCATTTTACGTCTGCCCTCTGCAGTGATACTGAATAAAACCAATTCTATTAACGCTTATTCAAGTATTTGAAAATCACTTATTCTACTTGGTTTTGTTAAGCATAGTTTTGTCACATGACACTGTTTTTACCTTTGCATGTGTGATTTAAAAAAAAAAAATCATATAGCTCTGAAAGTGTTGACCATAGAAATAAACATAATATTGATGTAGGCTAAGTGATAAGGAGTATACAGATGGATACTGATGTGTTCTCTGTGTCCTAGGGCATTAGGTTTGCATTAGCTCTTTTAGTCTCCCATTATACTAGCAGTTTGTATTAAACTTGTGCATTGATAAACACCTCTTATATCAACTGCTTCCAAGTTAGCATTTCCCCCTTTCCATATTGCACATTTTGGGGAAACTAAATGCAAAGCTTTACGCTTATCTTTAAGTTTCACTTTAATGTTAGTTTATTTCTCCCAGATTCCTTCAACTGGAGGATTTTATGAGCATATTCTTTGTCTTTATTATTTCATAAATAGTGAAAAACAATATAAGGCTGAGGACAGTGTTCCAAGGTACTTCCATAAAGACTTTGCTCATCTGAGTCGATGTAGCACAGCAAACTTAACTACACTGGCATCCAACCCACCCTAAGTAATGTACTTAGAAAGATAGCATGGACAGTTATCTTGGATACTCTTTTTTTTTTTTTTTTCAGAATAAACTATCTTTTTCTGGATTTGCTAATTGTGTGGTCTTGGGCAAGTACTCTAATCTCTGAACCTCTGTTTTCTCAACCATATGATGGGTTGCTGTGAGGATTAAATGAGGTAATACATAGAAAGTGCTTAGAACAGTCTGGCAGATAGTAAGAGCTTAGTAAATGTAAGCTATTATCATTTTCCCAGGTGTAAATGTGGTTGACTAGGCATTATTATGGTTTGAATTCCTGCTGACATCTATTGATCGTTACGTTCTTCTCTAGTTATTCCCAAAGCATTTGCTTCATTATTTTATATTTGTAGTTTCTGAAATTTACTTTCCTGCTTCTCCAGCCCCCAGAACTTGAAGCAGCTCTACAGATCTCCAGGCCTTGATTATATCTGTCTTATTGAGCTCTTTCTCCAAGATTATTGGAGTCAGCTTTGTGATTACATTTGCAAATTGCTTTAGTAGTATGGAATGGATTGCATCTGGGCCCAGAGACTCAAACTCACATAATGTTGTTATAGTCTCTTGGTCATGAGGCTCAGGTTTCAGTTGTCAGTGCCTTTCTGCAGTTTTCATTTAAAACTGTTGGAGAAGATAAGCCAAATACAAGTTGAGCAGTCTGTCTTTCTGTGTGATTTCTCAACCTTAGCACCAACCTCTGAGCAGTGATTCTTAGTTCCTTGTTCTCTTGGAGAAATAGTGTGTTATGGTGGAGACAGCACAGAGTAAGAGAGTATGAAACCTGGCTTCTAATTCCTGCTCTACCTGTTAATAGCCACGAGCTGCTGGGCAAGTTGCATTACCACCTTGTGCTTCGATTTTCTTGTCTACAAAAGAGATATTTACCCTGTCAACTTTCAAAGGGGTATCACAAGGTAAAGTATGTGAAATATATAAACTATCAAATGTTGTGCATTATGTAAGATGAAATAATAATCATTTATGTGAAAGTAGCTATAAAAGCTTTTATCTTCAAGCAGATTTTTTTTAAGTCAGTTTTTTCCTGAGCTTTCCAATTCCTAATACTACAGGTGTGTGCTTTTGCCCTTCTGTCATGTTCGTCCTAATTTAACCCATTAATGACTCTGCAGAGAGTTACTCTGCAGCCACACTGGACACTTAACTCTTTCTCTCTGTTGGAATTATTTATGGGTATGTAGATAGAACTTAAAAGGAGCCATCAGTTGCGAGCTGTTTCATGCCTAAGCCAAGTGGGGTCATACTTTTTTTTTTTTTTTTTTTTTTTTAACCTTTTTGAACTGCTCTTTCCTAAAAATTATGGTAATCATATATATTTAACTATACCTACTGTTCTCTTTCTGTTAGAAATGCTTTGTGGTCTATGGCCCCATCACCTCAGATGTGCCTGATTTTGTCTGATCTTGGAAGCTAAGCAGTGTTGGGCCTGGTTAGGACTTGGATAGGAGAAATCCCTTATGTTGAGATCCCTTTCTCCCGTATTCCTGTTACAAGTGTGTCAGCTTTCACAATTGTTGATCATTTAACTGTTCAGTATATCCCCTCCTGCTTCCTTAGCCTTCTGAAGGGAATTTTTCAACAAAGCAAGTCAGGAGTCATATTTTGGCAGAATTAGTATTTTAATATGAAAAAGTAATACTCATATTAGGAAAGTATTGTACATCTTTTGTGTGGCTGGGTGATATGTATTGTATGTCTGTGAAAATGTCAGTTTTGCTCTTTTTTGTCCCTTCTGTTTTTGATATAATTCAATCATGTAGTTGTAAAATAAAAGTGTTTGGTCTTCATCAATTAAAAATAAAGTAGATTTAAAAAAAAATGTTTAATGTTTAAGTTTTAGGTGTCAGTGTAGAGTGCCAAGGATACTTTTTTCCATCTTCTCTGTGAAATTATACCTATAGTGAAAAAAGTCTTTGCTCACTAGCCAAAAATGGCTACACATTAAGATTTATTAGTGAATTGTAAACACAGCCCCAAAATTATTTTGTTACATTCTTACTTTTAAATTAATGTCAAATGAATATAAAATATTAAAAACCTTTTAAAAATTTCCTTCCAGGCTTTCTACATATCAGAAAGCATCAACTTTTCTTGATGGATCCATTCATCTAATGAAATATGCCTATACTATTTTAAAAAGCTTTGTACTTCATCATAGAAAAGTTCCTCCACCTCCAGAATGAAAATGAAGACTTTCGAGAAGGTGATTTAAGTGTAGACATTTGAGAAGGTGTCCTGTGAAATTAGTAAACCAAAGCAAAAGTACTGAATTGATTAATCCAAAACACTTACTTTTTTTTTTTAAACAAAGAGGATTTCATCTTGACAGAGAAATAACTTATATTCAATATGTATTTTCTGAAATTAAGGGACCAGAACAGACTGAAAGGAAAATAGATTCGTAAATAAGCTCCGTCAACTCTCTTCTGCTGAGGGTAGCTTAGTGATGTTAAATCCTTTACAAATCCCTGGCTGTCTTCCTACAGACAAGATTGTTTTTTGATGGGACTGATATTAGGAGAAGTAGGACCTTTTGCGCATTCGACTCATTGATAAAACTTATCATCATCGGCATGAGTGGCTTAAAAGAGGAAATAAAGAAGCTTTCAACTAAATCCAAAAGTGCAGGCATTTTCTTTACTGCTGTTATTTTAAAAACCTCTTCATAACCATTGAAAGAGAATTGACAACTATTTTAAAAGATTAAAGAAAGGCAGATGTCTGCAAATAATTCCCCTCCATCAGCCCAGAAGTCTGTATTACCCTCAGCTATTCCTGCTGTGCTTCCAACTGCTTCTCCGTGTTCAAGTCCTAAGACGGGACTCTCTGCCCGACTGTCTAATGGAAGCTTCAGTGCACCATCGCTCACCAACTCCAGAGGCTCAGTACATACGGTTTCATTTCTACTGCAAATTGGCCTCACACGGGAGAGTGTTACCATTGAAGCCCAGGAACTGTCTTTATCTGCTGTCAAGGATCTATGTGCTCCACTGTTTATCAAAAGGTACTGTATGTGCTGTTAATGTCAGTAGTAAGTAACGTTGCTGACGCTTTCCTATAAATTACACATGTACCAGTGAGTTAAGACATACTGATCCATCAGTAATTTATTCTGAGTATTTTTGGAAGAGTTCTGATGGCCTGTGACTGAGGCTAAAGTCTGAAATTTCAGAGTCTAGCTAATTGGAACTTATATCTCAGATTTAAAATACCTTTATTTGGCCTGGCACATTTGCTTATGCCTGTAATCCCAGCACTTTGGGAGGTCGAGATGGGCTGATCACCTGAGGTCAGGAGTTTGAGACTAGTCTGGCCAACATGGTGAAACCCCATCTCTATTAAAAATATAAAAACTAGCTGAGCATGGTGGTGTGTGGCTGTAATCCCAGTTACTCAGGAGGCTCTGAGGAAGTATAATTGCTTGAACCTGGGAAGTCAAGGTTGCAGTGAGCCAGTGTGGTGCCACTGTACTCCAGCCTGGGTGACAGAGAGAGATCCTGTATCCAAAAAAAAAAAAAAAAAATAGTCAAATTCACAGGAGACAGAAAGTATAGTGGTGGTTGCTTGAGGTTGGGGGGAAGAAAAAAATGTAGAGTTATTGTTTAATGGGTACAGTTTCAGTTTGCCAGATAAAAATAATTCTAGAGCTGGATAGTAGTGATTGTTGCACAAAAATGTAAATGTGTTTGATGAACTGAATATATTTAATGTTAAGATGGCAAATTTTATGTTGCATATATTTTACCACAATGAAACAAGAGAGTAAGACAATAAAAGACAAACCCAAGAAACTACAACCTATTATTCCCAAATATGGAGGAAGAAGATTAAAGATCAGACTTTGATTAAATATAATTGCCTTATTAACAACAATAAAAAAATGTTTTCCTTTTGCAACAAACTGACCAAGCATAATCATGGACAGGCATTAATATGGAACTAGCATTTGGGAACAAATGGTGTAGATTACATTAAAAAATGGAAGGGAAGGTAAAGAGAGTAACAATTAAAGAAGGTATCAGGTCAAGGGAAGGTCATTGTCTGCTTGTTGTTAGCCTACTGGTTAGGCTGTACATTATATACTGTAATGAATCAAATATTTCGCCATGTTTGTGTCAAGCACTACGTTGAATAATCATAAGGTACGTGTTTTTAGACACTTAATATTTTTCAAGAAATTATTACCAGGTGCCTGCCCTTTAAGGATTATAGTATAGTAATTTTTACACCTGCAAGGATATACTAAAGATGTATGCATGTGTGTACTATAAAATAATAGTATTCTGTAGCTAGCTGCATAGTTGAATAAAGATTAACATGTAATTATAGCACACAGAGATGTTTTATACTTAGGCTATTTTCTATCCACTTTACCAGGTTTCCCTCATATTTTCAGTGCCTAAAAATCTTGAAATTGTTACTGCATCCTTCATCTATGGCTTAATCTTTTTTTTTTTTTTTTTGAGACGGAGTCTCACTCTAGCCCAGGCTGGAGTGCAGTGGCTCAATCTTGGCTCACTATAGCCTCCGTCTCCTGGGTTCAAATGATTCTCCTGCCTCAGCCTCCCGAGGAGCTGGGATTACAGGCGTCCACCACTACGCCCAGCTAATTTTTGTATTTTTAGTAGATGTGAAGGTCTCACCATTTTGGCGACGCTGATCTCAAACTCCTGACCTCAAATGATCCGCCTGCCTAGGCCTCCCAAAGCACTGGGATTACAGGCACAAGCCACCGTGCCCGGCCTATGGCTTAGTCTTGAATGTCATTCATTTCCTGTCTGAACCGTTAGTTTGTTTTTCTGATTGATGGTCATTTTCTCTAAACGAAGAATAGAATCAAAAGAAGAACGCTTTGCCTTAGAGTGGAAAGAAGATATACGGTTCTCTTAGGGCCCATCCTTTTTGCTTGTGAAATTTCCTCTTGGCTCCCTTTCTAAAATTACTACCGTGCTTCTTCCTAATTGTAATACAGATCTAACATTGTTAGAAGAAAATTTTTTGGACGACTAACCAAATATATTATGAAAGGCAATAAATCAATCTCTTTTTCTTTCTCACAGATCTCTAAATTCAAACTTTAGTGTTCTGCATAATAGGTGTGTGATTTACTGAGTGAGAATCATAAAAGATCAAGGTTTGGGCAGTAACAGGAGGGGATTAGTCTTACTAAAATGCTATGCTCAGTAATTTAAGCTTCTTTTTTAGGGAAATTTAGGTATATTCTTGGTCTGGTGCTAATCATGAGCTCTGTAGAAATGTTTTTCCAAACATTAAAATTGAAGATGGATTAGTTCATCTAATTTATTGTAATCTGAACAATAGAGTATATATGAACTGTTGTGTCGGTAGGATTTTCTATGACCACAATCTGTACTAAGTATTACTAAAACATTCAAAATACTTTGCAAATGTTTTCATATATAAAAATAAAACAAACAGCATAAATTCATTCTAAATTTAAGCAAAAATTAGATATTTATAGGAGCATATGTGATTTTAGGGTGGAATTTGAATTGTGGTGTTATGTTGCAACTTTCTATTATTATTGTTAATAACGATGTGTGGCATAGCCAACTTGTTTTTTAAATAATTGTTACTATTTTCTGTGAATTTGTGTCATTTTTATTTGCTTTCTTAATGTTCTATTTTGGGACCTTGTGGAAAGAGGTTTTAGAGCCTTTCTTCCTCTTATTTGACACTGCTGGGCCTATCCTGAATCTCTCTCTTTTTTTTTTTTTTTTTTTTGAGACGGAGTTTCACTCTTGTTACCCAGGCTGGAGTGCAATGGCGCGATCTCGGCTCACCGCAACCTCCGTCTCCTGGGTTCAAGCAATTCTCCTGCCTCAGCCTCCGGAGTAGCTGGGACTACAGGCACCACCATGCCCAGCTAATTTTTGTATTTTTAGTAGAGACGAGGTTTCACCATGTTGACCAGGATGGTCTCGATCTCTTGACCTCGTGATCCACCCGCCTTGGCCTCCCAAAGTGCTGGGATTACAGGCTTGAGCCACCGCGCCTGGCTATCCTGAGTCTTAAAAGCAAACTTTGTTTGTTTGGTATGACTTGAAAATTACTCTTAGAATGGTGGTTCTTTCATGAGAAGCTGGAAAGGGACTAATAACCAGCACAATTCATAGTTAACATTATAAGATTGAGAGAAAGGGTGCTGTTTAAGTTGTCTGGTAACAGTCTGCGTAGCCCGATCAGTTGGAAAATCTCATAATTTCATGTCTTTAAAACATGGATAAGTAGAATACAACACCTTAGAAAATCCACAAATGACCCCAAAGCAAAAGACAACTGAGTGCCATTGCCTTGACTTTAGATCGTATTACTTTACATTTTGGCATTTAATTTTTTTTTTTTTTTAAATTCCCTTTCCCCTCTCTAATAGATATGGTATCAGATACATGATTAAAGGAGACAAAAATATAAAAATGAATATCGTGCTTAAAATCTAGAGATAAAATACCTTCGGCCGGGCGCGGTGGCTCAAGCCTGTAATCCCAGCACTTTGGGAGGCCGAGGCGGGTGGATCACGAGGTCAAGAGATCGAGACCATCCTGGTCAACATGGTGAAACCCCGTCTCTACTAAAAATACAAAAAATTAGCTGGGCATGGTGGCACGTGCCTGTAATCCCAGCTACTCAGGAGGCTGAGGCAGGAGAATTGCCTGAACCCAGGAGGCGGAGGTTGCGGTGAGCCGAGATCGCGCCATTGCACTCCAGCCTGGGTAACAAAAGCGAAACTCCGCCTCAAAAAAAAAAAAAAAAAACAACTTTCAATGGTATCTGATTTTACCTCCGGTAAAAGCTTTCCTCTGCTTATTGAAAGTCAGATTTTAATAGCTACTTAGATTTTCTCCTGTAGGGAGATTTTCTGCCTGTAGGGTAGAGTAAAATTATACTGCCTGCAACTGAATCAGCTTTGCATGACTGTGAACAGATTACTTAACCTTGTACCTTAACTTTTAAAAATCATTAACAATGAGGGCAATGATAATATCTCTCATCATACTTATTTATAAAATTATGTCTTAAAAACATTGACACAACATCTCTGATCATTTTTTTTAACTTACACCATAAAAATTTAGTAACTATGAATGAAAAATTCTTTAACAGCTTTTTACTTTTCATGTTCTATCATTAATATGTTGCAGAAGGGCAGATGTGGTGGCTGATGCCTGTAATCCCAGCACTTTGGGAGACCAAGGTGGGTGGATAGCTTGAGGTCAGGAGATCGAGATCAGTCTGGCAAACATGGTGAAACCCTGTCTTTACTAAAAATACAAAAATTATCCTGGTGTGGTGTTGCACTCACACCTGTAGTTCCAGCTACTTGAAAGGCCAAGGTGTAAGACTCACTTGAACCCTGGAGGCGGAGGTTGCATTGAGCCAAGATTATTGTGCCACTGTGCTCTAGCCTGGATGACAGAGCAAGAATCTGTCTCATGTGTGTATGTATGTATGTATATATATATATATATATATATATATATATATATATACACACACACAGACACATGCATATATATATAATGTATATTATATATATATGAAATTGATGCTTTTATCTTATTTGATTCCACAAGATGCAAAAAAATTAAACGTAGATGAAATTTTTTGAATAAAATGTCAACATATATGCTTCTATAAATATACAGACTTACACTAGATGTATAGCTACTTCCTGTAACAATCAGTTGTTTGTAATTTCACATCATAGTCAGTTTTGGTACTGTGTCGATCAGTGCTGTCTATTCTGTGAGCTGTAAAGAATGAATTTTGTCTGAGCCCTTATTTTTTGCTGGGCTTGGTTCAGAGCCCTGACATTGAAAAGTGGTAAGATTTTGACGTTGTGGATTGGTAAGAAGAATTTACTGACAACAGTATAGGTTTGAAAAGGAAAGTTTTCCTAGATAGAAAGAACGCTGCAGAAGAGTGCAGCAGGGCACCTCAGCAAGAGAGGAATTGTGGTAGATTTTTCCTTAGGGGTGTTTA